GGAACGTTTTCCGTAAGGAAGAGCGCTTGTCTTTGTACACCTCTTTGTCAAAGTAAAAACCTCCCAAGACAAGGCTTCAGGTAATCTGATGCATACCTTCCTTAGCCTGCTGCTGTCTTCAGAGCTGTCTGCTTTTTCTTGTCTGTCATCCCAGAGAACTTACAATACTGAATGGTCATCTCTGTGAGTGCTGGCAAGTGGTTGCAGAGGAAACAGTAGTGGTATTGTACAAGGCAAGACATGCTAGTAGTATGTTTTTACTGAGTGAAATGCTAATAAGTACATGACCAAATCCTGCTCTGGGGCTGTTGAAGTTACTGAGACTTTTGTCATTGGCTTCTTGGAGGTCAGAACTCCGTAACTCTGATTGATAGAGAACAAGCCATAAAATCCGTGGGCTTTTTTACAGATTGCTTTTCCAGAAAATGTGGCAGAAAAATATTTCATCTTTTAGCAAAAGTATGAGCCTTATTCATATCTTGTAATCTATCGAAAATTGTGCTAATCTTCAGCTTTACAGCAGCTTTCTCCCATATAATGATGGGGTAATTTACAAAAATTTATAACTCACAGTATTCCTGATTTTCCCTGTCTTCATTCAAAAAGAGTGTGAGCGGGATGATCATGCTTGTGGCTGGTGGTTACTGTGCCTTGATACTGGCGCATTTCTGCTTCCTAACAGCTGTCCTAGTGTTTTTTTCTCTAGTTTCCATTTATGCTGTTTTGCATCATTAAATAATTTTGATCCTAAACAGCAACTCAAAATTACACTACACTTATATATTATTAAATACTTAGGAGATATTATTTATTTTATTTTTTTCTTGTCTAGCTGTTACATGCGTTTAAGTGTTTCTGGTGTTTTCTCTTGTCTTTCCTGTAGTCAGCCAAAGACTGACTTAGTTGCCAGCCTAACAAAGCTGGGTGTTGGTTTAAACACACGTTTAGTACTGCAGGTGCCATGACCATCATTTCACTGTAAGTTCTGCCACATAGTTGCTGCCATGCTATACTTGGATCCCAACTGCTCTGAGTCAAATACTGGAATACATAAAGACAAGTGTTGATATTTCCTAAAGTTAAGTGTAAATCAATAACAGAAAGCTGAAAATGCACTGTCAGATTAACTGATGTCCCTTATTACTGGAACAAATTAACCATTAGTCAAGGACGGTGCTTTGCCATTACAGACTTCAGTATTTTCCCTGTAAAGTGGTGATTTTTCTCAGTGCAACGAAGAAAGAAAACCAGTAAATGAGCTATCGGACAAGCAATGACACTCTATTCTAAATAGCTCCAAATTAGTGAAGGCTTTTTAGGACAGCTGTTACCTCCCTTATCCTTTCAGGTATCTCACTACTTTAGCTGGGTAAGAGGAATTGCTGTCAGTGACTTGGTAGATTAGCCATGACCTGTTAGAGACTAGTTTAACATTTGGTAAGAATTAACAATTGGGATTTTGACTGAATAAGTAGGTACCTGTAGGGTATACGTGCTTAGGATTGCCAGTGTCTATGCTAGATGGGACACAGAATCATAGAATCGTAGAAGAACCTTAAGGAATCATGGAAGGGACCTCAAAGATCATCTAGTTCCAAACCCCCTGGAATGGGCAGGGACACCCTCCGCTAGACCAGGTTGCCCAAAGCCCCATCCAACCTGGCCTTGAACACTTCCAGGGAGGGGGCATCCACAGCTTCTCCAGGAAACCTGTCCCAATGCCTCACCACCCTCACAGTAAAGAATTTCTTTTTAATAATCTTCTTATCTAAATCTATCTTCGTTCACCTTAAATCCATTACCGCTTGTCCTATCGCTAGATGCCCTTGTAAACAGTCCCTCTCCAGCTTTCTGTTTCCTACTGACAGAAACATGAGTACGACAAGGATTTGTTTTCTTAATTGAAAAGATTTGACAGTAATTTCATGTTCTCAAGTGTTGCACTTTCATTTTTAGTTTTGCTTAACAGAATAAAAATAGATAGTTTATAGAGAAAACAGAAATAAAAGGAATTAAAATAAAAAATTAAAAATAGGAGAAGTATTGGCAAGGATCATGCCCATTTGTGTATTCAATGAAAATAGCAAGCTGTAGAAAGCCAATTTTTCCATGCAGTATTTATTGTAATGTTTCATTTAAAAATTCAGTTGAAAAGCTACACATGATAAGATAAAGAGAGGTGACCTCTTCTATGACCGAGTCATAGGAAGATAAAGGATAAAAGTCTGTTTTGATGTTCAGAGAATTAGGCTGCAGGTTACACCAACAAGATTTAATTTTCTGGTATGTGCCAAGAGAAGTGGCACAGTATCAAGATGCAGCAAATGGGATTGCTTTCTTAAAAAAAAATGTGTACTGAGTTTAAAATGCTTATCTAAATGATGCATTCACTCTGAGGAAAAATGATGGAAACAGCTGAGCCTGCAATTATTTTACAAAATCTTACTGGCTTGTTATGCTGTTCTCTTTAGTTAGTCGGGGGAGCAATGTACAGTCTCACCCTGCTTTGCTAGGTGGCAGTTATCCCTGCACCATAGAAGGCAAAGGACAACGGAGCATCTTCCCTATAGCGTATTTCCCCGTGCGCATTTCTTTCCATATAAGTAGAAATGGCAACATACTTATACTGAAGTGGGTATGGTGAAACCAACCTAACCCCCTTTATTTTGAGTTTGCAACTTTCAAACTTGACAGTGAATAGTTTTATAATTAATCCTATTTTCTAGTGGACAAAATAGGGAAACAGCTTTCTCAAGGACACATGGTACTTCAAGCAGTTGTGACCTGTTTCTTTTTTGTCCCCCAATGAGTCTAGTTTCTCTCCCCAGGGCGTCCTGTTTTCGTGCCACTCCAGCACATTCTAAGAACTGAACAGCTTTCTTACAGAGCAAGAATATGGTGTAATGTATTGTGGGTGGTTTGTTTTCTCAGTTTTGTATTAAAAACACATGTGAATTTGTATCAGAAAACACAACCGAAGACTGCAGTAATGCTGCTATACTAGCAGTTCATGAAGTTTTGGAACTTAGAAATTCTGGTCTTTGGAGTGGTAGGTGAGATTTCTTCTCAACATCCGTGCTGTTCCCACACTCGCTCTTCTCACCTTGCTGCCCTGAATAGTCCCTTCCACTTGCCTTATTGCTTCTACTCATTGCAGCTTCTCTAAAAATGAACAGAAGTCCTGCTTCAAAGACTCAGCCAAAGAGGCCATTTCTGAATGGTATCTCTCATGGTATTTATGCAAGGCTTACTATAATTGAGTTAGTTTTCATTGGCAACTAACCAGCACACCGAAATATGTGTTGTCTCCCCTAAGTCTTGCTCCTTGGACTTTTGATATAGAGAAGATTTATTTTTTGAGACATCCTTTCTGTTGTACCTATGACTTTGGAGCATCATTTGTCCCTTTTACCATGCAATGTGCTTTTCTTGGCCCCCTTCTCTCCCACTGTATTCAGAGGGTCCATGAATCACGATTTCATGTTGAGGCTCATGACCTGTAATACTGCATTTGATGATAGACACCATATGTATCCTAATTCTTTACATTTAATCTTTTATATACTGAAGATTTTTTTCATTGTATTAAAAATAGTGATTCCTCATTTGGTGACATTGGTTATTTCCACCTTGATTTCCAGTAGCTAGATGGGTGGATAGGTAGATTGATTTTTTTAAGGTATTATAACATTTACAGTTATTTCATCTTATGAAGAGATTTTTTATTCAATTATTTAACTGGTGGATATATTTCTAACTTAGAAGTGAATACCTCTACTATGTTACAGCTTGTTTCATTCAAAAGTCTTGGGAAAGCACAGTGTAAAACACAGTTCTTGGCAAATTCTATAAAGAAGTTCTGAAAACTTACGTGAATATCACATTCACAGCCACCTGTAGTTCATATTTGGTTTTATATCCAGAAATATGTGAAAGAATACTTTATTGAATTATAGGCTTATGTAAGCTGTTAATGACATGGATCTGTTACTCACTGCTATCACATATCTCTTGTAATGAATTTCTTGCAATAACCCATGACATCCATAAAATTCTGGAATGAGATCTGGGCATAGGAGTAAAACCTGCAGGAAGTTCTCTTAGTCACATTCAAGATAGTCTGAAGTTTAACTTTCTTCTGCCTGACCTGGCTATAAACTGTTTTATTTTGCAAAAAAAGTTACGTGCCTCTCAAAAAGAGTGAGACCTTCCTTCATGTAAAGTCTCTACGTATTTTATTCAAATTAAACCTTTGTGACTGAGCATTCTGCGTGTATGGGAAGCAAATAAATGGCTCTGGATGCAAAGTTTTATTCTTTTAGTTAAAGAGATTCTTCCATGTGCACTCTAAAAGCAATTGTTATTGTGCTGTTTATACACAAAATCTTAAAATTTCATGTTTCCTGTATGGACTTATCTTGAAAGCACAAGCTTCCTTTAAAACAGACGTTATTCCTTCAGGTCAGGAGGAACTTTGGCATTTCGGTCCTCCAAACAAAGTCAGAGTTCACTACATGGTATATTGAAAACAATGTGTTTCTGAAGAGGCAGCAGCTGTTTTTTTAAATGGGATGTCCTTCACAGTCTAAGCCAGCCAGACTGCATACCCCCCCCAACACCCCACCCCCCAACGTAATTTCTGAGTTTCAGGTCTGAGAAGAAAGTGAGAGCTGCAAGTGAAAACTGGAATACAGTGGTAATGGCTTAGCTTTCTGGATGGCACTTCAGAAGTCTTAAAGCAAGTATTTGGGGACAGCAGGCTGGTCATGTTGTGGCTTCTACAAAATATTGATGCCTCAGAACAGAACTTGAACTGTTTCATACAGAAATATTAGGTCCCTTCATTCATGCTTATATACACATGATCACAGGAAGCGTTTCTTTGCTTCTTAAACAAATTTGTTAAGGTATGCTCACACTGACAGCTGGAATCCGATATATGATGCCAGTTAAAATAGCAATTACAAAACAATATCTTCTTTCCTTACATATTCAGGAAAATATCTCCAACTTCGATATCGTCATGGAGTCTGATGAGGGCACCTTCAAGCCATCTGGACTGGGTTTTACTGGCAATGCTAAAGCTCGGGACATTTTGAAAGAGATCATGACTCTGCTGCAGCCCATCAACGTTACAGATGTTTACGACAACGCAGATGGAACGGACATCGATTACTGGATGAGAGAGGGGGTGCCCGGTGAGCATGCTTTACAGTTGACACTGCTCCTCCCGTGCAATGGCACATCAGATGGGTGGTCTGGTGTTTTGAAAACAGTAAGAAATGCTTTCTCTAGAGGAGTGAAATTTACCATAGGTAAAATGCAGAAATGTTAAAAGGTGACCAACGGAAATAGGACATAAAGTGCATTTGAGTTGCAGTTTAATAATGGTATAGATTATATCTAGCATAACATGCCTAAAATCTTCTTTTCGGCTTTAAGGATTTAAAATAATTAATCCCAGACTGGTGGTTTATAAATAGTAAACTAAAGCAGAAGGGGATTCTCCAATGCAGAACAAATAATTTTTTTATTATTATTATTATTTCGACTTTGAAATATAGGGCGTTTTCTCCCTGTTTTATATGCTGAAGAAACAATGTATTCGAGACATGACATTTAAAAGGTTACGGGGCATTAAAGTGTGCTAAAGGGGTAAAATTCTGCAAAGTTCGAAGTGGTTCAGGGGTTGGTTTGGAGTATTCTATCTGGCTCCCAGTGAGGAGCAGCTTGTTGGCAAAGAGACTTGCAAGCTGTGAGAGAGATCCACTGCTAGCAGCTCCCCTGTGCAGGAGACCCCACACTAGCACGGGGGCTTGCAGAGCACAAGAGTCCCAATTAGAGCCCAGCCTGGGTGAAGACTGAGTGAATTTCCGTGGTATTTTCCACACTTGAAAAAATAGTAGAAAGAAAAAAGTTTCATAACACTGATATTTAAAAATTTATGATCAGTTTTAAAATTTTAAGGTTCTTTTTCTCTGGTGTTTTATGACTGAAGTAGACTGGTGCATTTCTCATGCTAGTTTTACTTGTAGCTACTATATGCTTAGAATCTCTTAATATTTGATTAACTGCCTTGTTTTTTACCTGGTCTTGTGGAAGATGCAGCAGGTCATGGAATATATGCTTCTTATTTACGGTCAGAACCCTTTGCTTCTCACTCACCTGGGGCATACAAAGATACTATAAAGTTGACTGCCTCGATAAATGTATGGATGTCTCATTTTCCAAGCTAAATATCTGTGCTGGGCCCGAAATACACATGAATGGATATTGTTAAACAGCTAGGGATTCACCTTCAGCTGGTGTGTTGCTTTCCGGGCGGTGCGCAAGCTGTTCAGTCCAATGTCATACAGCTGTGACGTTGGTGTGCAGTTGGGTTCCTAGGGTCTGCAGGTGCATCTTACCTGAGTGTTAGGACCATGTGTTGAGTTGAGTTGAGATGAGAGACTGTAAGCACTGCTGAGAGGCTATAGCCATACGTCATCCTCCACAACCTGAAAGCACCCATGCAAAGACGTCTGGTCCAGAATTTCAGACCAATGTGAGCTGTTGCTGAAATAAATATGAGAACTTACCTCTCAACCTGTGTTTAGAAAATGCAAGAGTATCAGAATTTTTTCCTAAGTAAGGTGTTGGGAGCATTACAGATGGTCACTGGGGACTTCCAGTGTGCTTCCCATCTGAGTGTGATGGATTATGGAAGAAGAGAGAAAAAATTAACATTCAAATGCCTTGTTTGCAGTTCATAATGTGACTAGTGCTTGTGATGGCAGTGTGTATTGAGCTCTTGTACACCACTTTTTCATCAGCTGAGGTGCACCTGGAGCATGAACAGCTACAGCTTGACATGGTCCTCTTCATGAGTCACCTGGGCTATGTGTGTAAAGTAGGAGCACCTGCTCCACAGCAGGAGCAGGGCAGAAAGTGGAGCCCTCTCCCACAGTCACCCATACTCCTCAGAAAGCACAAACTATGAAAAATATCGTAAACTATAAGCTCAACCTTGGGAAAATATAAATACACTAGAACTGAGACCTCAGCTTTTAAATAAATCTGATTTGCTTTCCTATTAAAAATTTGGCACATTAATTGATGGTGGGTTTTTTTGCTGTCTGAAGCTTTGATTCATTTAACTTCTCATTAAGCAAATAACAAAGTGTTCTTGCAGCATAAAAGAACAGTGATTCTTTTTTTGCCCATTGAGCCCTGGTGGGAAGGAATTAGCTCCACTAAAAGAATTTCGGCTGCTTTAGATTGTATTTTATACTGTATCAGGGAGAAGTCTAAGACATATTGTAATCTTCACGCCTTGTCTGCAGTATTCTCACTGCTCAAATAAGCCCTTATGGTATATAATAACATTGGAACAAATTGAACACACTGTAACAGCTTTTATAATTTTGTCCAATTTAAACAAGCAGTCAAGTGTTGACACTTCATCAATTTTATTTAAATATTTTCTTGAAAATACACTTGGTGGCTTTGTTTCTGCAACAACGAGAGAAAATAATGGTGTACTTCTGGAACAGTAAGAACGGTTTCTGACATAATTTCTTTAGAGTTTTTCTCTTTTTTGGTGTTAAATAGATTCTGAGTTTCACCTTTTTAGATGCAATGAAAATTCTGCTCCTCCTGCTCCTTTTGGTCTGAACGATCCGCAGAGGGCAACAGTACGTGTGTTTTGCAGAGCTGTTCATAGCTGCTCCTGAGACGGATGAAGTGACTATGGCTCCTTACTCTGCAATTTCCAGCGTGCTTATTTTTAATGGGCATGCAATGAAATGTTGTTTGTAATGTTACTTAAATGTATTTGCAAGAAAACAGCGGTGACTATTCTGAGATTTTAGGATGAGAGAGGCCAGGAGGGTTCAGAGTGCTTCGCAAACCGTAAACTGAAGCTTAACTAATACCTCTAAAGCACGAGCAAGGTGATCTGAACCAAACACAGCAGTTTAATGCTCTGTGACTGCAGAGTATTAGAAATATTTCCGTCAGTGGCCTTTACATTGGATTATTTTGAGAACAGTTCAGCCCAGCAATGAGGAATGTCTGTGCTGTGTTTTTCTAGTGATAGCCAGTTTTCAGCTACTGAAAATATTTGTATAACATTTGTTTTGCTTTTTCACGAAGCATAAATCAAATGAAATGGGGTTTTTGTGGTGTCGTATTTTATGCTGTGGTTTTACAGTTTGAGGTGACCATTGGTCCTAAGACTGCTGCTTTATTAATTATGCAATTATCTTCCTCAGATTCCTTTTTAAGAGTTCAATTACATATTTGTTTTTAGTTAGGGATACATCTAAACTGTAGCACATAAAGCTGTTCCTTTCCAACACGAAGTCCTAATCAAGTTTGGCCAGAATCTGCAAATATAGGTGGGGAGATGGGTTGATTGGGTTATTTGTTTTTTTTCTTTGCATGCTTTTTCACAACAGGCTTCTTCAGTGTCTGAAAGGGTTAAAAAAACATTAAGCAAGCCCTGCTAGACCTGCTCAGATATTTTTGTTGAAAAAGCAAGGTATCTGATGATCACAAGGATACTTTGAACATGATTTAGACCAGTTCCTAAGGTAATAGCACAGGGGCTGTCAGCCTTCCCTGCAAACCTTCAGAAACTGAGGAGGAGGAATGAAGTGATTATATTTGTATTATGGTATCCAGTGAACATTAGTTCAGCTTTAGGGATTAGGGGAGAGGAAAACGGGTGCTTTCCTATTTTTGCAGAGGGAAAGCTGTTGTGACACAGTATTTCCTGGAGAGCTGGTTCAAGGATGCTCCTTTCTGTCGGGCTCATCAGAGAGGTTATCTGTTGCTGCAGTGCTTATGATGGGAACATTCATCTGTTAGGAACTGAGCTGTATTTGAGATCGAGCTGACCCAGGACATCAAACAACTCCCAAAAGGCATGTGGCAACTCCTCTATTTAAAATTCAGCCAGTGACCTAAAGGTGAAACTCCTTTTTACAATGTCACTCTGAACCTTGATGGTTGTTCATGTCTCTCTGTCCCCACAGTGACGGTGTCTTGCTTTTTTGTTACATTACACAAGAAGAAGTATTACTCTTCTAGAAACTAATAAACCAGTAGTTCATCTAACTTTAATGTTTCTTCAGAAATCAAAAATTCATTGCTAACCCAGTCTATTAGTCATTTGCTCGGAGGTGGCAAACAAATACTATCATATATCATTTCTCTCATTTTTATATTTTCATAGTGCTTCTTTATTACTTTCATTTAAAATAAGATGTATTTTGGCCCTTAGACACCAGACTTTGATGTGCATCATTTCCTTTCTTATTACATAAGAGGTCAAATCCTTCAGTTCCACCCCTTTTCCAGAGCACGTTGGCCACCCGTCCCACCATCTCTTGTAGCACCAAACTCCAGTGCGAGCCTGCCGGCATGCTTGAGCCAAGCCTGCTCCTTTGCATGTTTGGGAAAGGGGTGTAGTGGGAAAACTCCCTGACTTGATGTTGCCAGGTGGGCATGAAGAATTGGGTAAACTCTCTATTTCCCAAAGTATAAGTAAACTCTGTTCATTCTTGGCTGTATCACTATTTGGAAATGATACTCCGCTGTGATTCGTGAAGCATTGCCCCTCAGCGTACCTGCTTCATACTCTCTGCAGACTTGGACAGACTCTGCATCCAGTTTCTCGGCTTCTTTTTATTGCCAAAAGAATAAAAACTATAAGGAAAAAGAGGAAAAATCAGATTCACATAGTCTAGGACTTCATAGGCCAGTGCTGAAAGGCCTTTGGCTTGACTGTGCACGGGAAAGGGATGTTGCACTTGACAAAGATCTTCTTATAAGATGAGGTAAAAAGAAAAAAGTTTCCTTAAAAATAGACATTAAACGTAACTTCCTCACTTTAATATGTGACATTTGTGTGATTCATGGTCTGAGATGTTTAGCGCAGAGTATCACATGGAGACCTCCAGTTATTTGACCAAGTGACTAACACAAGTGAAATGTCTCCTGCTTGCTCATGGAACAAAAAGTTGGACAAAACTCCTGAACACTTCTCACAAAACAAGCTTTACGCACAGTATTCCAAGCACTTAGATGATTTTAATTACTCCACGGGTGCTGCATTTTTGTACTTGCTGAGTTCCCACTGCTCTGGACGTGTGTTGAAGCACACCACCACCACCAGCCACTATGGGCCTGGTTTATTTTTGTGTGGAAATGAGGG